GCGCCGCCGTTGGATTTAACGGCGGAGGCGTCATCGTCGACGTCGTCGGGTGGCGGCAAAATTGGCGGGTCGGGTTCGCGGTTAAATTCGTTTAGGAGGATTTTGACCCGGGATCGGTCCTCAAACAGAATCACTCCTCGTCCAAGCCAAGAAGGTCGTGTAGAAGATCTAGAGCGACAGTGAGTCCAAAATTTTATTCTTAAAATATGTTTTTTAGGGCAAGTAGATGATTACATATATACGGTTATGAATGTGATCCTTCATAATACTCGTTCTCATTTTGAAGGATTTTGAGATGTAGTATTACACTGTGAATATGCGACATAGTAAATACATGGTTGTTTACGTGAACGATGTCAGATTTATAATATGTTTTCATATAATTGTCACAATATATATATATATATATATATATATATATATAAGAATTTGTATCTTCTACCAATGTATTCATAGCGGGACCAATGGCAAATAAGAAGGGGTTCGTTAGGCGTAGATATGAAGGTAGGTTTATTACAAGAAAACAGGTGTAGTTAGGTGAATTCTTAGTTTTCATGGGTGAGATCTCAAGTCAAACAATTTGACCCATCGAATCTTGTTTATCATATAATATTCTCAGCTGTTGACCATAAATAAATATACACAATCGGTTCATCATTCATGTTAAAAAATGCAAAAAACATTGGTTATCATTAGTGTGGGTGTGTATATATATATATATATGATGAGATTCAGCACCACTGTCAACACTCAACAACCAATATATGCGGTTATCTCTGGTATAAGTAGGGATTCGGTTCGGTATTGGTTGAATTCGGATTATTCGATATTCGATTCAGTTTTACTTTATTCGGTATTCTAAAACCGTAACCATTTAAAATTTCTTGGGTATTGATTTTTTTCTTTTTGCAATGGCAACAACCCAAGTGATGAAACCTAGTTCATAACTCTTCCATTTCCTTCCCCTGAACCTTCTTTTGCAAGTCTTTCAAAAAAAAAAAAAGGCATAGATGAACACAACCCTACAATAGAGGAAGATACAGATTTTCATTGAAGCTACCGAAAAACGGTGTACATTTTATCAGTGGGATCCTTGAAAGGTCACTTGGCTTCAAAATGATGCCCTTTCGTCGGTAACGAGCTACAGATGGTGAATTTTCCATGCCATTGCGAACAGATGGCTCGAACCAAGGAAGGGCCAAACCCAAACGCTTGATATCCGACTGGTTCCACTCGAATCTGCAAACCCCCGCTGCCCAGTTCCCGGCATTGAAGCCGTATCCGCAACACTGCCATTGCTCACCATTTTGCTGCACCATCACATTTCATAGCATTAAGTATACTTTGTCCAGAGAGCAGACCAAAAGGAATGACAAGATGTCAGCCCTCATGGAAATCAAACCAAAACGCTGCACGGCTTTGGTGATATGACAAAAGTTCATTCTTTTTCAGTGGTTTCCAGAAATTTTCGAGGCTATGGATATGACCCATCTCACAAATCCTTGCTAAAACCGACCAGGAACATGATTCATAACCAGATGCTCTCAAAAGGAAACTGACAAAAATGAAGGGCCATTGAAGAATCCAGTCCTTAACCATATTAAACGTTCGAACAAGAAGCAGAGACCAATCTTCCCACATCACTCGGAAGCAGTTGCATATTACACAAGTACCGAATCTACTACATATGTCTCGGAGAATTTGAACATCAGTCAAATTTCGCGCACAAAAGAGGCTATAAACTTGCAGAAGAATCGGAGTTCATTATTACCTTGAAGGGAATTTGCACTTTCCACGACCTGTAAACAGACAGGGAAAAATGGATTCAACCCACATGAGCATATACCCAACTTTCAAAAATAACCCGGCCATAAATCGAATTGGATTTCGAGGAACTTCCAAGTGGAATCTGGAACCAGATTTCAGGAGAATCCGCTGAGATCCCACAACCAAATCGATGATTCGAACAAAGATTCGGCCAAAAAAGCAAGCTTACTAGGATTCAGGGAAGTGAGAGCGGCGTTGTTGTCGAAGAAGCAGGCGTCGTCGGCGAGGCCGTGCTTCAGGTAATAGTCATTGAAAGCATACGAAGCCGTTTGTTGGAGATCCATGGGGTCGTAGCAAGGTCCGCCTTGCTGGATCATGCCGCAGTCGGCGCCGCCAGGCCCACATGCCCAGTCGATCGCCGTCTGAAGCGCCGCGTCCTCCGCGTTGTTCTTCGCCACGCACCACAGCTCCGACGGATCCACCGCTCCTCCTCCGCCCTGCGCCGCCGCCACAGTCCCCGCCGCGACGAGGAGAAGGAGATGCACCAGAGAACAGTGACAGAGATGCCGAGCCATTTTTCGGACAGAGAGAGAGAGAGAGCGAAGGAGAGATCGATAACGTTCTAGAGAGAAGGCGAAGCAGCAAGGGGTCAGGGGTTATGTAGTGGCAGTGGAACCAGAAGTGACCGTTAGAGGTATCGGGAAGATGGAAGATCTAAGAGGGAGAGGGGGGGAGAGAGAGAGAGGGGGTGTCTGAACATTCAAATAAAATTGGCAGTTTTTCGTAAATAAGATAAAGATCGCGGTGTAATTGGTAAATTTGAATTTTAGCGGTTAACTCCTCGAGGAACCAATTTTGGGCCTTTTCTTTAAAATCCTTTCAGCCCGTACCACAATCTAACCAAAAAGTGATTTGGGCCGCGAGGCGCAAATGACCGATGACGTGTCAGTTTGGCATTGGTTGGTTGTTTTCCCGAATTGGTTTTTGGGGCATAGAAGGCCGGGAAGGAAGTCAGTCTAACTTCCGGTCAAAAATAGGCATGGCGTCTCCGTCAGATCCCAGTAGTTGTCGAGATCAAGATGCGGAACGTCTTTCCCTTAACCCTATCTTGACCCAGCAGTCGGGCGTGGAAGCAGGATGTCCTGTTGAGGCAGATGCTCATTACGATCCCGGTAAAACCCTAATTCTGGAATCGGCGGTGGACGATCCCGGTAACCCCTCGGATCCCGAAGAATCCGACGCCCGGGATCAGCAACAGGAACCATCGATTGAAGAAGGTAGGAACGAGGAAGACGACATGGAAGCTACGGCGGCGGCGGACTCGCAAGTCGTAAGCTCCTCCTCCGTTGCCCGCCGCGGCGGTGGGGCGAAGCGGAAGAAGGGCAATCTTAAGAAGAAACGCACTCTGGGGAAGTCTCAGAAGAAGCTCGAGGTACTTATCGAGTCCTTAAGTCCCGTTCCTTTCGTGCCGGTCAAAACCCTAGATTTTGCTCGTCATGAGAAGCTCTTGAAGGTGCTGGGTTTGTGGGATTTTGTGCATTTGGAGTTTGACCAGACTATCCGTCGTGATCTCGTGGCGCAGCTTATCGCGTTTTATAGCCAAGAGGGTAGGTGTAGCTATGTAAATGATGCTAGGATTAATGTTAACCGTGCTGATTTGGCTCGCGCGTTGAAGTTGCCCAGTAAGAAAAAAGACTGGGTTGTTAATCCAGATGAGGCAAAAGACATACTGGAATCTGATGAATCGATCAAGTTTATTGAAGATTTGGTTTCTACTTGGATTCTACTTCAAGGGGATGATACGTGGATGATGCCAAAAGAGTTGGTGGACTGGGACAAGTGTATCAAGGAGAAGCAATTGGATAAGGTGGACTTTGCCGGGATGTTCTGGTTGATGGTTGAGAAGGAGCTGAAGGCTGACCCGCCTTTGGGTGATTGTTACTATGCATCGCATATGCAGCTGGTAATAAAATCCCAGAAAGAAGATTTACTGAAGGAACAGCCGGTGGAGGAGCCTGATCATGTGAAGCAGGTTGATTTGGAGGTGAAGGAGGAGGACGATAGTGTTGCAGACTCTAAAATGGATGATGGAGGTGGCGATTTGAAGGAAGATAAGTTCTTGGAGGAACATACAATTGAACTGAATCTCGGGCAAGAGACTGTGTCTGAAATGATTGCTGAGGAGGAGCCTCATCCTGGTGAGGAACAACCTATGGATTTTGAGGAAACCAAGAAAGAAGAGGATGATGGATGGCTTTGGAATGCAAACAGCAATGTGGGTCCGCATTTTATTCGTCCATGTGATGTTGGCGGTGCTACGGAACAAGATGAAGAGAATAAAACGGAAGGATACAGAGACGGGGGAGAAGACGAAATTATCGAAGATGCAGTGGAGGAGGAGGAGGATGAAGATAGAGAAAAACATGAAGGGTTTCCTCTATTCCCCAACGGTGATACTCCGCATGGAGTTGCACAGGAAAATCTTATGCTGGGAGATGCATCTCCTTTAGGTTATAGCTCGGGGTTGCAAATCCATGGCAATGCAACTGGTGGTTTCCTTGGATCTAAAATTGATATGCACATGGTTCCAGGTAGTTCTTCCCATTTTGGGAATGGCAACAAGAGGGATATCGATCACGAGAATGATATTTCTTACCATTCTCATAACCCTGGCACCAAGAGGTTGAGAACTGATGAACACTCCTGGGATGACAAGCCAATGGATGTTCATATGTGCCTAGACCAGATGGAGCACTGGCTTAATAAAACTAGGTTGGTGTATGCAGAAAAAGAACGGATTTTAACAGAATCTAGTATGCACCATGAGTTTCTGATGACTGAACTGCAGAGGAGGGAGACAATGATTCATCAATTGCATGAAGCGCAACAGAGAAAGGATTTAGAAATCTATAAGCTCGAGAATGAACTTCGGATGATGGGTAGTGTTTTGGAAGGTTACAGAAAGGCTTTGAAAGAAACACAGAAGGCATCTAGAGAGCACATGATACGCTGCCCTTTGCGTGATGAACCGATATACAAGGATGTGAAAGGGTCAGGAGGTTTAGTCCTGACCGCTGCTGAAATCGAAAGGCAGCGATTGAAGCAAGAAGAAGAAGACAGGATTAGACGGAATTCAATAGAGAGACAGATAAACGAGTTTGCAAATGGCTGGTGTGAAAAATTTGAAGGACATGACAAGGAAGTCCAGTTGCTAGGAGATAAGCTGACCGAGCTAGAAAATAATGTGAAGCTCGTTAAAGAATCTTTTTCAAAGCGCGAGATTTCGGACAAACCTGAATGTGATGCAACAGCTGAAGCTTGATAAGCTCAGAAGGTACATATACATACTCTTCTACTCGAAATTTAGTTAGCACTTGGACCTTTTTTTGTTCCTTATCTAGTTAGGTGGGCTTCAATTGCAAACAACAGTATCTAACTTCAGATTAGAATATCCTTCTTTATGGATTGAAATTTTTTCTTGCCCCGTATTCAGTTGCTTGGATGAAGGCTAACATCTTTTGGCGGTTCGAGCAATTTCATCTTATGAGAAATTCTCTTAACCAGCAGGCCATGGTTAGAGGATCATCATACTGCTCTTAAAAAAGGGTATATTAGATTGATAAAGGAAGAAACCGATCCAAAGTCCGGCAAAAATGTACTGTCAATAGTGGTTTTAGCCACTTCAAGAATCGGAATCAGATGGATCTTGAGTTAGGATTTTGTCTTGCCCTTTTAAGACAGGGTAGTAACTGATGAAATCCAAACAGTGTTTAAACTGAGTAGTTGAACCTTCATGATCTTCTTCAAATTCTTTTTGTATAATTGATGTAGTTTTTGCTTTTGTTTTTAGGGTTTTGGAAGGTGTGCTTTTAGATGCAGATTGGTTGTACGGAACAGAAGCTGTTCTTGAAGTTGATCAGCAGAAAACATTTGGAAAACCCCATTTGTGTAATATGGGATGATATTTGTGGGTTTAGGGTTTGGAAGTTGAAGGCTTTGTTAGATTTTTTGTACATCTTCCTGTCTCTGTAAAAAAAAATGTTGGGATCTATTTAATTACAGCACGTTTTTGTCTACCCTTTAGTCTTAATCTTGTGAAATTGCGATTTCTGTTTTGGTAAGAATTCAGAACAAAATTATTTTCTGTAAAACTGGATAGAAGTGGCAGTGACCCCAAAATGGTATAAAAACCTTAGTATATGTGTGTATTATATCACGCGTGCTTTGAGATTTCAAAAATATAAAAAACGAAAAATAAAATAAGATGAAATTTAAAAAAAAAAAAGTTTAGAGAGAGAATCATTGAGTTGTGTTGTAATCTAGAGAGAGAGAGCGCTTTAACAACAAAAGCCAATCATGTAGCGAGTCCGAAGTGATCCAACACATCACGTGAATGTACTTTCTACTTTTCTTCTCCCCCCACGCCCCCTTTACTTTCTACTTTTCCTCTTTTCACCCCCACCTTTTCCTGATTTGACAAAATTTCCCAATACCCAAGCAGAAATTGAAAATAATAACACTAATATATTTCTATTTCGGGTTTTTCCTTTAAATTCCGAACAATACGGATTGCAAGATGTTAGAAATTACTTTTTATTTGCCTAAATTTATTTCTCAAAATGTGGTTAATAATTTATACATCAATATCTCTTAATTAAATATGGAATAAAAGGAGACGAATAATCTAATATTAATTAGTACAAAATAACGCTTAATTAGACACCTACAAAAAAAGGGGGAATAAACCGAAAAAGAAATCAGCTAAGTTCTTTACACAAACAAACAATCGACGCCCTTCACTCATCACCAAAAAATACATAAAAAAATTGAAATTTAAAATAAATTGATATACATTTCATCACAGCTTGAAAAATGTGATAAATTTTTATTAAAAAATATTCTTGAATTCTTGAGATAAAGAGATTTTATCATTAAAGAGAGAGAGCGATTAGATAGTGATCGGATGGAGTTAATTTAAGGCATTGAGAAGTTGCTCTGTCTCGCCGGAGGGCTTGACGTCGGCGGCGGCCGGAGACTGACATGCATTCTCCATCTTCTTTGTCTTTTGCTGATGATACACTGTTCTCAGTCTCTCTATCTCTCTCTTCAGTGCTTCTTGATGTGCTGCCATTTGTTTTTCAATGCAAACTATTATTATCACCAACAAATTAAGTTACTAAACTATATATGTATATATACACACACACACACACATTTATGTGGGAAAATGCATTTAAAAAAGTTATAATGAAGTTATCAGATTCATACGGCAGTGATAATTAAATACTCATCTACATATAGAGACATGCATATGATAGGTAATATATATATTGATTGAGTATACCTAATAATGTCTCCGACCATCTAACTTTGAGAATCTAATAAAAAAGTATTCTAATTATAGAAATTCAATAGTTTTCACCTTTTATATTCTCTATGCATAATTTTTTTACACGCTAACTGCACATCGATCATTTGATTGAAAAAATTATGCAAATGACCAATTCTAAAAATCGAAAAAATTACCGTCTTTGAAAATCTTATCTTGGGCCAAAGCTGCGATTCTTTGCTTGAGAGCACTGTTGTCGACGTTCAGAAGCAATCGCTGGTGATCCAAGAACGCAACTCTTGGCGATAACTCCGACACTTCCGCCTTAATCACATGCACAAATTCAATTATGTACATACTTATATATATGTGTATATATATATATACCTACAACTGAATAGATATATGCTATGAGTGTATGTATATGTGCATATACAAATGTACCTGCAACGAGGTAACGCTGCGTTCGAGCTCCGATATATATTGCAGTTTCCTCACCCGTGATCTTTGGGCGGATTGCCGGTTAGCCAAAATCCTGATGAAAAATTCAGGAAACAAATGAAGTTCGTCGTTAATTACATGCGTTCGTTGATTATTTATAAAAAGCATTTTTTTTATGCGGCCCTTATTATTGTGCTTTTAATGGCTACGGCCTACGATGGTAGTCGAAAATATTATCCAATGCGTACGTACGTATTTGCATGCATGACCCTTTTGGGTTTGCGAAATATAGTCGTAACTGTTGTATGTCAGTTAATAATTAACCATAACTATTGATAATAATTACCTCTTGACCCTCTTGGGATCGAAAATCCGATTGCCGGAGTTTAAGGTGGAGTCGGAATTCAAAGGTGGAACCTCCTGTGGCTCCGTCTTGCATTGGCTCTGCACTTCCTCCGCTTCGCCCCCGCTGCCGCCGATGTGATGGGTCATGTCCTTGCGGTGATAATCGGACGGTGGCTCTTTGGTCTCGTCGTTGACGCTGTTATGATCGGACGGTGAGGAGGTATTGGAGGACGAGCCGACATTGTTGTTGTCGTTGTCGGGAGGGTCGTCGGAAAACATGGAGATGAACTGGTCATCGTCGAACCGGTCGAAGGAGGGGTGGTGGTTGTGGTGGCCGGAGACGGAGACGGGGGCTTCGAGGAAGGCGATGGAGTCGCTGATGGAGCGGCGGTGGGAGCCGCGGCGAGCGGCGGAGAAGTCGAGGAAATCGTCGACCCACGACGGGTTTTGACCGGCGGCGGCGAGGGAGGGGAGCTTTTGGGAGGAGAAGTCAGGCCAATGATGAGGAGACATGTTTGGGATTTTGGGAGGGAGTTGTGCCATTAAGACAAGGCAACACCCCCAAAGTATAATTTTTTTTTTCCACGTAATGACACACCACGATCGATCGAGGACCAAAACAAAACAAAAACAAAAAATCTTAATTACAAGAGGAAAAAACCACAAACCCAGTTGATAAAACCGAAAACCCAGATGGAAGATGTAATCAAGAATCAAAATCTGGAGTGGAATTATGATCAAGAAATGGAATCGAATCTAAAAATGTCGTAAAACACACAGAGAGGGAGAGAGAGAGAAAGGGAAGGGATCAAAAGGAAAGAGGGCAAGCAAAATGGCTATGTTTTAACAAACAGTAGAGATATAAATGGATGGATGAAGGAGAAGGGGAGAGATGGAGAGGAGGAGAAAGGCTGCATGATATATATGATGATATGAATGACATCCACACCACACCACAGGAACTAATATACATACATACATACATACATACATACATACATACATACATACATACATACATACATACATACATACATACATACATACATACATACATACATACATACATACATACATACATACATACATACATACATACATACATACATACATACATACATACATACATACATACATACATACATACATACATACATACATACATACATATATATGTTGCCTGAAAAGATCTCTCTCTCTCTCTCTCTCTCTCTCTCTCTCTCTCTCTCTCTCTCTCTCTCTCTCTCTCTGGGTCACATGGGAAGGGGAAGAGATATGGGACAGCTAAGAAACAGCTGTTTGGGGAGAGAGATCTCAACGGTATTACTGGAAAGTCGCCCCTCTCAGTATTTTGTATTAACATTCAATACAGAGAGAGAGAGAGAGAGAGGGAGAGAGAGAGAATGAGGGAGCACGTGCCACTTGGCCAATCACCATTCCATGTTCTTCCTTTCAATTATCGTCTTACTCTTTAAATGATATCCATCGATAGGTAATATATATACGCATGATGCGTAATTCCAATCGCTACGAAATTCTAAGATGACATAAATGTATCGTGTATGAATTTGAGCCCGGAAATCAACATGGCCATATATCTAATCAAGAAGAAGATTTTCCAATGACATGCAATTTTCCTAAACAATGCGGAATACTGTAGCGAGATAACTCAAAATTCAGGTGTCACAATACAAATCCATACCTTGACAAAGCTCAAGTGTATATTGATACGTTTGAATTCGCATACTATGCAGCATATATATAGCAACCTAAAAAAAATCGAGAACGTCTTTTAACATGCGTCTAACGTAAACAGAAGAGATGCTGACAAATTAATGGTCCATGGATAATCATATGTGTGCATAAATGTGATCAGAAATGAGAAATTCCCATTGGATCTCAATGCTATTTATGGGCAAAATATATATATATATGCAAAGGAAGAATAAATGAACTAGTGGGAAGCTGCTAAGAGAGAGAGAGAGAGAGAGAGAGAGAGAGAGAGAGAGAAATGAGTTGTGAAAGGCAAATGAAAAGGAAGAAGAAAGAATCATCATGCATTCATGTTCATGTGTGATGCCATGTGATTTGGTTTTTGTTATTGTTTATAAGTAGATCCCTACCTCTCTCTCTCTCTCTCTATCTCCTTTGCTTTGTCTACAGACCACGGCCACATGTAGGACATGTACCCTTTCTCATCTTCATCTCTTTCCTTCCACTAATACCTTCATTCATAGGGTTATATATTACCCTATTTTATGGCCCATTCATTCCATAATTAATTCAACCCACTAATACCATACCACAAGTTATCATCACATCTACATATATATATAGACATGTCAAAGATATGTGTAGTCATATGATCTAGGGTTTCTACAAAACCCTAGCGGCAGAAAAGCGTTTCGCTCAGCAATTCCACACCCCGTCAGATTTCTTGGTGGAATAAATATTCCACCATTTTTTTTTGTTAATAACTCGAATTTCACTGAACTTTCAACTCAATTACATCCATCTTCCAAAGCTCGAAGATAACCTTTAACCACTGCGTGGGATAAGTGACACCCAACCACAGTGTGTCACCATTCTTATCATGCAGCTTTCGTAATGAAACCATGCAATGAAAACCCTAACGTTAATCTTTGCCTAAATTGAAATAACCAATTCAATTAAAAGGACGATCGACAAATCACTCAAAACACGTACGAGGAGAATAGATAGACGGCGTAATTAGTTTCAGGGCAACTTCTCCGATTGGAAATCGCTAATAATTATTATATATATATATATATATATATATGTGAAATGTGGATTAAATTAAAATTAGAATCGAAACGAGAAATTAATTAAAAATAGTTATAATATATGAGAGTAATGAATGGTATGTCCCACCTTCCTTGTCAAGAAAGTGCATGCCAATCAATACATGTTCTTGCAAGTATGCTTGCCATGTGAGTCTCTTCTCTTTCCTCGATCAAACAATATATATACACACACACACACAATGTGTATATATATCGAACCAAATGATATATATTAGTATTTAGACCAAATACGGTCGTATGATGTTTTAAACCAAATTAATCGATACACTAATTCAAGCAAGTGGCAACTATTAAATATGGAATTCTTATATGAAAAAAAATAATGATTTTCCACGTCAGAATTGTATAAAGCAAAACATACGGCATCTTCCGTATCGATTTCGTACATGTTTCACTGCAATGTACCTTCACATTACACAACACAACAGCTCGCTTGATCCAAGTTCAGACTATTATTTTTTGTTATAAAATTAAAATTTTAACGATAACAAATTTCGATTTTATTTGAAGGGAACAAATAATCATAATCACCCTGGTTTGGTTGGATACATATACATGACAAAAAAATATGAATCATTTAACTATATTTGATTGCAACTATTATTAAATTATGATTGTGGATGGATCGACATCAATACATACTTATTTTAACGATTTGAAAAAAAAATGTTTCTCAATCAACAAATTCTTATAACCAAATTGGTAAGAATGCGTGTAATGAAAAAAATGTATAGATCTATTACTAATTGTGATAGTTTTTTTTTATATTATAAATAGCTGAAAATCCAATTTGTTTATTTTTTATTTTATTAATTTTGCCGTTATGCTTTCACGGGAGATATTAAATATGAAAGTAGTTTTCATATCGTAAATGTTACTATTTATGGCTGGAAAAGCTTTTCTCAGAGAAAAGAAAGATTCCAAATTTATAAACAAAGTTTAGAAATTTGTAAACAAGTTTTAATATAAATTACCTCTACCCAAAAAAAAAGTTTCCGAATTTATAGACGAAGACAAGAACAAAGACGGCACGCAGTAGAGCAGCAGAATCCCATTTCTAGACATGTTTGCCGTTTTCTTTTTTTGGGTTCCGGAAAAGTCTAACGATTCGTTGACTCCGCGTTAACTTTCGACAGAACTGAAACGACGACGTATTAGATCGAACTGTTCATTTGGTACTGAACCAGAGAGTTTCGTCGGAAACAAATTTTGTCATCCCCGACAGGACAAGCGGGTTCTCTGTCCAATCGGCGTTAGGAATCTTCTGGGAAGGTAATGTATGATTCGACTGTTTGTTTGTGGAAATCGAGCGAAAATGGCACGCAATGTGTTCGATGAAATGCCTGTCAGAGGGTTTTCGTATCTGGATTGTCTTGATTCTGATAATTCCAACGTGCCTTCTTTCATGTCATTAACCCGATCAATGACCAGTTACTTTCCTGGTTTCTGGTTTGGGGGTTTGTTTGTTTCCTCAAGTTCCGATTTTTCTCTGTGTCAAAGCAGAGTCTGCTCTGTCAGTCACAACAAACATTGGTTATATTTGTTGGATTGAATCAGTTTGGAAATTCCTTAGTTCGTACGTTATTTTTGGTGTTTGCTGGTATGGACCATGTGATTCAAGCTTAGTTATGGTGGAGGATCATTCTTTGATGGTTGTTCCTTACTGTTTTGGGGTGACGATTCTCTTGTATCCTCTGCTTGGTGATGAAGGAAGATAGTTTGTTTTCCACATTGGTAAACAAGCATGAGAGAGCCAGATGCCATGCCCATATATTCTCTTCTCCACAGAAAAGAATGAAAATATCCTGTTAATTCGATAATGTTTTGCAGCATCAGATGGCGTGGCTTGTGGTTGTTCTTTCGTTGGTTGTTATCTGGATAGCTTCTCTTTGCAAGGTTTTCTATGGATCAACGTCTTTTTCCAGGGGCGCAATCTCGGATGATGGCAAGTATATGGAAACAGTTTTTCACTGATCAATTTTTAGTTCTTTAGTGCTTATCTTTGCGTTCATCATAAAGGGTTCAGTTGATTTCAGGCAAGCCCCCTCAGAAGAAAAATGTACTACTCGTTATTGCACATCCCGATGACGAGTCAATGTAAGCTTTAAGAATCTTTGGAATGATTTATCTCGGACTAGTTTCTGTTTTATTTACTTAAGTTAATTTTAGGTATATGAAATTGTTGACACATCAATTATTTTTTGTTGAAATCTTCTCCAAAATATTGCAGGTTCTTTTCTCCAACGATAAACTATTTGACTGACAGAGCATATAATCTTCACATATTATGCTTGTCCACGGGTAATATATTGATCATAATATTAGTTTAGTTTTGGGTTCTGTTTTGAGTTGAAAATCAGTAAAAGGATACTCAAGTTTCTCTGAAAACTTTATAGAAAACAAGCCATCTTGTCACACACAATTTTACGTATCGATTCATAAAGCTACTCTGTCAAGGTAGTGTGTGTGTGTGTGTGTATATAAATTCATGGCATCCTCAGATGTTGCCAGTTTATTTGAGCAAAAATAAGTAGGATGGGTGCACAACTGAGGATGGATGTTTCAATGTCTTTCAAATTTTCATTTTCTTTTGTTTGTTTTTTTGGGTTTCAGGCAATGCTGATGGTATGGGAAACATTAGGATAGATGAGCTATATCGAGCATGTGCAATGCTCAAGGTGATCCAATTTGACTAAGGATATCTATATCATCAACTCTGTACCCACATTTAGTAAAACCCTGTAGTTTAGTATCTAGTGGCTTTCCTTTGATTTGGTCTTCATAAGATATTTTAGCTGTCTTACAACTAAAGAGTGGAGCTTTGATATTGTAAACCTGTAAAATTTCTGATGCAGGTTCCACTTAAGCAAATAAAGGTCCTTGACTATCCAAATTTGCAGGTTTAATCCATCTCCACCGACGCGTGTGTGTGTCCACGCCCATTCAATCAAAATCTTATTGCACACAATACTGAGAATGTATTCTCTTTCAGGATGGTTTTGGGCAGGTCTGGAGTTGTGATCTTTTGGCAAAAATCCTTGAAGATGAAGTCACTGATCATGATATTGACATGGTATGGGCATGTGTTCGCTACATATTATGCGGCTAAGCATAGCCGTTCTAAAGATATAAGCTTCTTAATGTGTTGGTTTCAGCTTATAACATTTGATGCTTACGGTGTCTCGGGTCACTGCAACCATCGTGACGTGCATCATGGGGTATTGTACGTGAGATTTCTTTTAGCCCTCGAGTCTCTTTTTACGATCTGTCTTCCTTTGTGTTGACAGAGGTGGTCCTGAAACTTCGAATCCTTGCTCATTAATATGTTGTATTGGCAGAAAACTCTTGCAGAATAATACTTCAGGAAGAAATATCGAGGCTTGGGAACTTGTAAGTCTCCTTTTGTAGCAACTCAGACTGTATGACCCTTATCTATTGCTCTAATACCCTTCATGAAGAAATATTGTCAGAACTGGATTGATCATATGATTCCGTCTAAAGTAGCAGTAAGGTTTTCTTGTTTTTACTCAGGTGAGCATTAATATCCTCCGCAAATACAGTGGACCTATCGAAATTTGGCTATCGATTTTGTGTGGAAAGAGAACCCTAAGCAAAGTAATCATCAATGAACATCCTTGGAAGAGCTTCAATGCCATGGCACAACACTCGAGCCAATGGGTCTGGTATCATCCATCCTCTTATACATCTGTTCTAAATCTCGGACTCTATTCTTATTATCGATCAGTTAATTTGGAATGTGAAGCACACAAGAAAACTTTCTCCGTAGTTAACAATAAGGGTATGATGGGGTCATCTAAGAAGAAGCTGCTTCTGATTGTGACAGGTTCCGGAAGCTTTTTGTTTCGTTTTCAAGCTATACATACGTGAATACGCTTAAAATGATCGACCATTGATTGAAACGCTTATGAAACAATCTGGAGCCTCATCTCAAGCAGTCCGCATTCATCGCGGCCATTTTGAAGGCCGGGAAGCAACTGCAGAGCCAGAAGAGAGCAGTTCAGGGCAGGACATGATGAAACATATTAACAATGTTTTTTACAGTTTGTGTTTTGGCTTTACTGTCTCGAGACGTGAAGCCCCTCACTCTGTCAATGAAACATAGCTTGAGATCCGCATTCAGCTCTTTCTAGTGTAATTTTTGGGGTACAAATGTTATTAGTAAGAGACAATTAAGTTTCCTGAAACAAGGTTTGAGCAAAAACCCTTTTGAAACATTGTGACAGACATCAAGGAAAACCATGCAAATCTCTTGTAGAAAGAAACCATCTCATGGCAACAACATGAAATTTTTGCCCAGCTTAATTTGAGAGAGAGAGAGAGAGAGTGAGGGAGAGAGAGACTCCCTATTCACACTGCCGGACATCTACAATCCCATCTGCAGGCTGCCATGAGACACAAATCCAGCATTTATCTGTACATACAACCTTTAGAAGAACCACCTTTTGATGAAACTGTCAAAATGATGTAATACTGACACTACTCACTCAACTATTTGAAGATCTATAGCCTTAACTGTTAGGGAGTGTCGTTAGACGGAGCAGCAGTTATGGTGTTGTCGTCTTCTTTAGCTGGACTGTCCATAGCCAAGTGAACTCCTTTGGAAGCCGCCTTATTCCGACCCTTGGATGGAGGCGAGGTCTTGTCTGAAATGACTTCGGCAGTTAGCTGTCCCATCTTCTTCTGCAGATCGGCCAGAGAGTCTTTCGTAACTTTTGCCTTTGGGCTCTTCTTCGTGTTGGTTAACTTGAGTTCTAGCCTGTATAGAGCGCAGAGATCACATTCATCGATCTGGTATTCGAAGAGGTGCCACTCGAAGGAGCCAGGAGGCTGTGGGTCCATATAGTACGATCTCTTTTGTCCGCCTTGTTCCTTCATCAGTTGTTTCCTCGATTCATGCCAACCTCGTCCGCTATAATCCGGCAGTGATCTCTGCTTTCTGTTCCCACTTTCAAATGCTTTTCTTGGTTTGTCGAAGAAGAGCCATTCCCTAATTGTTTCACCCTCGACCATCACCAGGTCAAACAGCTCTGCAGTATCAAGAAATTCAATCAATTGTGGGGAAAAATTGAATTTGACGATATAGATCAATGTGCAGATTACAAATTCATTTTTTTTCATGCAAGAAGGGTGAAAGGAGATATGAATGTACAATTCTTGCTCTAATGGCAGATGCTCACCTGTTGCATTCCATGGGCATTTTGTGTTCACAGCTCCTTCACACTCAGGGATCCCGACATTCTTACCCTGAGTCTTTGCACGAAGAGCATCGATCAATAGATTATCCTTCAAACTAATGCCCCCTGGTCTTAGAACAGGTTTTGTACCGGGCGAATCCTCACTCAGAGCAAGAGTAGCATGATAGCTGCTGCAATAAACTTGGTACCAATCAAATCCTTGCGCAGGTCTTGTACAATCCCAAAGAGCACATTTTGGGCCCAGGAAAGCAGAAGGAGGTATGCAGGTATTTGATGGAATATCGAGATCAACATAATTTTCACACTCTTCAGTAGCATCGAGCTTGACAGGAAGGTTGCCATCGAGCTGTTGACGCATTTCTAGGAGATGGTAATCTAACTGAGAAGTTATATCAAGGTTGCCAATTGCTGGGTCATGGAGGGTAGATGTGGTGTTACTGCTTTGATCAAACCCTTGAAATGCATAATGCTGTTGATAGCCATGCGTATTGATGTTATTAGTAGGTTCCTGAAAAGGAAAAAGGTACAATTGTTGGTAATATGATAAGCTCGAAATCAAGATCGATAAGAACGCACAGATGAAAATTTCATAGATGAATGCAAATATAAAATCAATCATCGATGGTGTTACAGCCTTCTCAAAACTGCACAAGGCGTGACCTGGAAACTTCCTTGCCCTCCCACGACCCAAAACCAAAAAGACCATTATGACAAAACAGGTTTACTTTAACAAGGGTGCCTGTTAGGAAGGGAGACAACCACTGGGCGAGAAGTAAGACACAGAAACCTGGAGAAATGCCCAAAAGGCATAGCAGCTTAATAAGAACTACCTATCTGACCTAGAAACTGACTCTCCTCATGAGAATCTATGATCCTTCATAGAATCAAGCTGGATAGTAAATATTCTCACCTCCTGAGAACTGGAGAAAGTAATGTTAAAAGGGCTTTGACAGAAAGGCTCGGGTTTCAGTTCTGCGGGTTCAGCATGGGACGAGCCTTGAGCAAAACTCTCAGGCTCCAGTGCAGTGGGTTCCTTTAATGCACTAGTCGCGTCGTCCTCCTCATCATGTAATTGCAATAAACGGGCTATCTCATCAGAGAACAATCCGATACTTCCACCCTGCACACAAGAAAGAATCAAAACCAAACCCCGAAACGGGATTTTGTTAAAAACATCAAAGGATCCAACTGAGAAGTAGCCAAAAAGTTCTTACACATACAACAAAGCAATCAAGCTAAGATTCAGACATTCAAAGATGAAACCTTTGACATTAATGAGAACACAGTTTGTGGAGCACGAACCAGAAGAGACGAAGCGGGAGAAGGCGCGTTGAGTTCAGCTTGCCATTCGCGGAGGCTCTGATAGACTTGCTCCTCCAGAACTACAAGATCACCGAACCGTCCCTCCTTCCTGGCAGCCTGAAGATTGCAGAACCTTTCCTGAAGATCGTTTAGCCGATTCTTCGCGTTATCCACCAAAACCCGATGCGAAGAAGATGTGCATTGGTTCTTCGGATGGTCCGACATCTTGCTCCAACCACAGCCCCTCCCCTACTCTCGATTCAGGACTGAAGCCGTAATCAAACACAGAAAACAGTAAACCTCACAGAATGAAAGAACCAATTCCAAACAAGTACAATCGAGGAATCCGTCCTAGAATCCCTAAATCGAACGCTCAAAAGAGAAGGGTATAAAAATCACCTCGATCAAGCAAAGATTGTGTGGCAGATTACCCAATCAAGCCTCCGATGCTCTCTCTCATGGAAGAATTTCCCGCTACATTTGAGTAAGAGAAGATCCCGAATTGGGAGAGAGAAAGAATCTTCGGTTTTGTCTGTCAGTTTTGTTTCCCTTCGGCGTCGGTCGTAGCAAGAAAATGATGACATTCAATCTAACATTTGTGATTTCAAAGTTCAGCAACGGAACAAGCACCAGTGGTCTAGTGGTAGAATAGTACCCTGCCACGGTACAGACCCGGGTTCGATTCCCGGCTGGTGCATAATTTTATTTTTGGACCTTGCTGCATATGTGTAACGACACAACCAACGGCCCACTATTGTTTTTATTCCTCGTAAATGTTTGGACAATATACAGATATATCTCCGAAAAACTCGAAACGGGTCTTATGTTCTTTTCCATTCGTATGAACACCACTGTATTATCATCCCCCACGACTATATCTATCTAACACTGAAAGCATAATAGCCATTACAAAACGGATATATATGATATGTATATATCTTGTAAGAGCCGTGAACCGAGTGAACAACTATCATTCAGCTTCAAAAGCACGATGAAGATCAAGAGCCCTTTTTACGCTGCGGATTAACGGGTAAGATAGTATACGACTAGGAATAGAGCCACGAACGACGCCACGAGTGTCAACATTCGTCTGCTTGATTTTGTCTCAAACACCTGCGTCATTGTTATCTTAATCAGAGACGCCATGGAATTCAGATGGCTAACATTCGGGAACAGAGCTAGAGACGAGATAAGTGTGTTCAACACGAGTTATCTCTACTCGGGTTTTTACCGTTTTGAATCGGTCCATGGTTCCTGAGAGGATTCCCCTTGACGAATCCATATCATTTCCCTATGTAGAACCCATGTAAGATATTCAGTAACAGTTGAGCTGATGACAAAAGAGAAGTAATAGAAGAGGAAGGAGAATATGTTCTTGGTAGTTGGTACCATTCTGTCAAGCATGCGGTTGTGGGTCTCCACCTCTTCATTTATATCACCAGATAACTGTTTATGAAAAAAAAAACAAGTAAATCAGGGTAAAATGCTGAACCCAGAATGTGAGAGGAATGCTTACCCGTTTCAGAAGATTGACTCGGTCTTGCAATCCATCCAAGGCTCGTTCATTATCGTGTTCATCGATTTCGTGGGAGTACGATGGTGCAGCCCTGATCCCACCCTCTTCGATTCCATCGAAGACGGAACTTCTTGTCCCACGATGGTCCCTACACTTCAGTTAACATGTTCAAAAAGGACAGCAGAACTAGATCTATGGAGCGCTTGTTCATGGTGTCTACAAATCCAAACTCCATGAGTAGTCACTAATAAGAAATCAAATCAGCTGATATGTAGTGAATTTTTCTTATTTTACTTAACCCATCCCAAATGAATTAAGATCCAGAGACGCCCACTACAAACCACGAGAGTGATTTTCTGGTTCAGTTCATTGCCAAATCCATTGAAATATGTAGCCAAAACTGAACTTGATATCGAAACTTCGAAGCGAAATTCCTAATTGAAATGCGGTTCGGCTATACAAGTACTGGAAGACGATCCTACTCTATCCACCTATAAAATTCACAGCATCTTCAGAGATTCTAGGCTAAGAACGACGAACCCTAATCCTCTAAACATATACAATCTACGCACGAAATTATACAACAAATTCGATCGATCATTGATTCCCAAAACGAAACGATGCGTTAATGTGGGATTCCATCGAGATTCGATAGAGCTAACCTTCTAGGATTCATGGATCAATCGAACGAAGACGTAGAAATCTCTGGCTCTCCCGAATTTCACCTGGATCTGCGGTTCCCAGCACGCAAACGGCGCAAGAACGCGAGGATGAGATGGAGAACTAAGAAGCTTCCGGAATTTGAAAATTCTTCCAAAGCGGAGAAGGAAATGTCACCTTTACAAGCGCAGATCAACAACTCGACGAAAACGCCCTCTCCCGTAAATCAATATCTCCATTTTTTGGAATTTAAAAACTTCCGGGGCCTAATTGAAATATTAAACTTTTAACGGGGCCAAACCGTAAGTCATTAAGAGATCAAGAAAATTACGAACGGGGTAACAAATTTTCTATATTCTGGTATTGTTCTCGATTTTACGGATTTTTTTGAGACGTTGTTCAATTTCGATTCCGCGAGATTTGAATGTCCATGCGTCGGATACCTGTTAAAGTATCCGCGAAAAATATGTCTAAGTTATATTACTTAGACTGATTCCACGCATTATATAAAAATACTCTTACTTTGCTATTTTTATTTCAAAACATACATTTCTCCAACTATAGTCATGTGATCTATGTGATCCAAAATATAGTGTGTTCACATTTTGATTTTATTGATTATAACGTTAAATTTATAGTGATCTCACTAATTCATTATATTCATACTTTGTATATTTTACTAATTATTTGATTAAAACATCATAAATTTAACATTATGAGCAATGAAATCAATATGTGACCACACTATATTTTAAGTCACATAGATCACAGGTAGAGAAATGTATGTGTTGAAGTAAGAATAATAGAGTAAGGATATTTTTGATAATGTCCCGATTTACGAGTAACTTAGTAATATTAAACAAAAATAAATCTAGATATTATTATAAATATATTAAAATAGTAGGATATAAATATAATTTTACTTCGGTTGATAATCCGTTGTAATATAAAAGAATTCAGAATGAGAATGAGATTTTGGATTCTTATCGCATTCATCTTCTATTTCCTTGATGAGATTATCTCTGAATATTCGTAAGATCAGATTTTTAAATTCAAATATGGATTCTAGATTTTTAATTAAACTTGTCACACCCGTCTTTGGTTTTGTTAGTGATTGTTATCTATATCTCGGGTAGTCATAAAATCGGATATCCAAAAATACACGTATCTTGATTACTCGTGCTCCCCCGGCAAAAACATTAGTGGTCGGGTCCAACCTCGTCATGTCCGCACCAACACGTACCACGGATCTCGAGAGATTGGGGATTCAACTCTTCACCTGGTCACCAATCGTCTAATAGTTACGGTTGATTTATCTTTCATATGTGTATCACGGGTTCGTACATGTGGACGAGAGTTTATCTAGTCAATGTGTCCAAAAGATAGTAGTTGAGATTCTCCACTGTATAAATAAAAAAAAAACTAATTGATAGTATGAGTTGTTGCAAAAAATAAAAAAAGAGGCTAGTTGTTGGGTTCGTAGTACGTACGATATATATACACGTGTGTGAAGAGCTAGTTTTATATGTTCATCGCCGTCTTCGACTCTTATTGTTCCATCTTCTTTACATATATATATATATATAACCACATATACATAACATGTAAGAATATTTTTGCATGGATGCCATGTTGCTGCGTGTGAGATGTCTAGTTGGTGTGGTGCGTGAATTAAGTAACAAAGAGCCATTCTTCAGTGTCAAAAAACGAGTGATATATACTGCCATTATTGCAATATCTTACAAGATTGGTTCTATTTAACAAGACCACCATGACATCTTTAGTTTCTGTTGGCTCTTTTGTACAATCCTCTATTGTGGAAATTTCCAATTTTGATACGGTTTTGCAACCGTGATGTATTTGTAACTGATCCTTTCTTTTGATTAATATATTCACATTTTAACAAAAAAAAAAATATATAGAGGGTCTGTCGATTTTGCTTTACAATTTGTTTTTTTTTGTGCCAAATATATCGAATTAAGCTTAATTATATTCAAGATTCAGAGTTCCATCTCTCATTTGTAGCAATTTTATGTTTTTTGTTAAAGAACAATTTTATGTAACAATTTAATATTACGTACAAAACATGGAAACAGAACAGAAAATGAAACGTATAAAGTGTAGTGCATAAGACTTTAGATATCATTATAATCCCTTTGTTTGAATGCATATCTAGAATTGTGAAAATCATCTGTATAAATACATAAATATATACATTTAAAACTATTATAAAACAAGTTGCTATATATATATGGTTTCCTGGCCTATTGAAAAATATTTCAAATGATCTAATATATTAAACTTAAAGTTATGATATTTCAGATGAGCATGTCAATGGAATCTCGAATCCTAGTGGTACCAGAACACGATCGATTATAATTTTAGGTGTTTTAATTAGAAATAATCACGGAATTAACGAAATTTTAGTTTTAATTTCTTTTTAAAAAAAAGTTCCAAGTACACGGCATTAGTATTTGTCGGTAGACTTCAACCGGCAGGTGGCGGTTTACCCGGTCATCCATTACACGACAACCTGCAGCAGTTCCAATGTCCGGCGTTCGGCGGAGACCGACGTAACGTAACCACGATAAATCTCTTTTTTTTTATAATAAGAAAAAAATATGCACAATTAAACATTTTTTTTTGAAGCATAATGGACCAAACGTATAGTTAAATATAAAAAAAAAATATAAGAAGTTGGACTAATTGAAAGCTTAATAAAATACACAATAATAACAATAATCACCATTACTGATTGTTCCCTTAGAACTCTACCGGAGGACCCTACATGTCTAACCCATTCATTCACACAGAGAATCTGGTAATTCAATTCCGATAATTTTCCTTCGATCCAAAGAAATTGAATATCACTTTTACACAATATTAATTCACATAATCTCTAGTCACACATATTCAAAACATCTGTTTATAAGATAATTATAGGCTTCGAGTTTTAAAATTCGTCCATTCAAGAATCGTTCAATGTGTTTTGGGATAGAGTATGATCGAGTTTAATTACTTTTATATATTATTATAATTATTATTTGTTTTAGAATTTTTAATCTATTGTAAATTTTAGTGAAAATTATGATATATATATATATATATATACACATACACATAATGTACTTAATGGTTAGATTGATGTACTTAATGGTTAGATCGTGTTCGAATTGATGTACTTAATGGTTAGATCGTGTTCGAATTGATGTACTTAATGGTTAGATTGATGTACATACACATATTACTCGACCTAATACGTATAGATTGATGTACTTAATGGTTAGATCGTGTTCGAATTATAAACCAATATTTAGATTACAGTTTCATGACGGATTTTCGTCTTTCTTATTTAATTATACGATTTTCACCAAAGTGCATTGAACAAACTTTAGCATCACAAAAGAAAAATAATACTGAAAGTAATCATTTAATTGCTTTAATAATGAACTAAAAAAGAAACACTAATCTGGTAGACAAAAAGACCGTGTAATCACAATATTTATGCATTAGTACATGATTACATATTGACCATATAATATACCAATAAGTCCACTCTTAAGAGAGAGAGAGAGAGAGAGAGAGAGAGAGAGAGAGAGAGAGAGAGAGAGGGTTTACGCTTATTTTATAAAACCTCAAACAGACACCAAACTGCCCCATCATCGTACCTTCAAAGACATAAACTCAAAAAAAAAAAAAATCTTTTTTACTTCTCTCAATCTCTGTCTTGTTTTTTTTGGCACAATTTCCTTGTCAACTCGTGCAACATCTCCAACAACAATCCCAATCATTCTCATAAACTCTTTTCAACCCAATCTTTTATCAAATTCCAATAAGAAGGAAAACATTTTTTCCCTCCGATGGCATCTTCCGGCAACTCCGTGACCGTGACGGGATCGCCGTGCGGCGCATGCAAATTCCTCCGGCGAAAATGCCTGCCGGACTGCATATTCTCGCCGTACTTCTCGTCGGAGGAATTGGGTCCGGCGAGATTCGCCGCCATACACAGAGTCTATGGAGCAAGCAACGTCTGCAAGCTCTTACTTAACGTCCCCGTCCGCGACCGGTTCGACGCCGTCGTCTCTATCGCCTACGAGGCCGAGGCTCGTCTCAGCGATCCTGTCTATGGCTGCGTCTCTCATATCTTCGCCCTCCAACAACAGGTACAGTTCTTTTGATTTAGTTCTTGAATCACCATGTGAAAGTTTTGGTTTTTCTTCTAATCATATATATAAATCTGGTTTAGTATAAATTGATTTGGTTTAGTTTGGTTTGCGTTGTATAAATAGTTATATTTGATGAATCATTTGAATAATATAAAAAGTTTCCTCATTAAATCCAATTTTCAATTCTCTCGAATTGTAAAATAGTGGCATTTTAATATAAAATAATATTATTTGAAGTATAATAATGGAGCTTAGCTAATCCGTTGGATTCTCTTTACATAAATGTTTCTTCAACCGTCTTTTTTATACATTCTTGGCCATAATTAATGTATCTATTATTATATAATTAATATACCTATTAATTCGCGTCACGAAAGACTTGCCCACTTCACATGAAAAACTTTAACTCTGTCATGTAAGGTTTTTTAAATGTGAAATAAGCTATATATGTTTAGTGTATTATTCACTGGTCGATATTCCCTTTTAATTTCGCTAATTACATCGACCGTGGGAAAAAAAAAGTTACAGCAGTCGCTCTTAGTAAATTTGTTGTCTTCTGTTGATTTCATTTCTTATTCTTACTTTATATATAGTTATGACCATTTTACTTATAAGTGCTACTCTGTTTATTTTCTATACATACACACATATAATATATATATATATATATGTATATATACAGGTAGCGGTCCTGCAAGCACAAGCGATGCAACTGAAGGCTCAACTCGCTCACCACAACATCGCAATCTCGGAGGGGACTCGTCATCACACGTGGCAACAAACAAGTGGGTTTCCGGTTAATACAACACTGTACAATCCGTACGGTAACGTGAGCCCTAGCCCGGTTTCACCGCAGAGTTCGTTAGAATCGTTGGATCAGAGCAGCACGAGCAGTGACGTCAGCAACGTGCAAGAGAGACGCGATGGTTTTCGTGGATTAGGGTTTCGCGAAGGTTATTCGGACAAGAGGAGATCAGTTACTCACTGTAATAGCGATTCAGGCGAGCTTCAAGCTTTGGCTCTTAGAATGATGAGGAACTGATCAATACCAGAACGAGTGAGATTGGGTTTTTTTTTTTACTCTCGTTTTGCCCTTTTTTTTTAAACCTAGAAAAAGGAAATTACTATATATATATAGAGAGAGAGAGAGAGCGTTACCAAAATATATATATATAGAGAGAGAGAGTCAAACGACTACCCAAAAGAGTTTGGTCATACGATATTTTATATACTTCACTTGTAAAACCTAATAATGTATATATATATACACACACACATCCAATACATATGTTTTCGTACGCAAAAAAAAAAAATCAGTGAAAATTATAGTATTTTAGCATCGTTTTGAATAAGAAAATAGGTTATGCGTAGTTTTTTTAGTCAAACCGTGTATGTATGTATGTATGTATGTATGTATGTATGTATGTATGTATGTATGTATGTATGTATGTATGTATGTATGTATGTATGTATGTATGTATGTATGTATGTATGTATGTATGTATGTATGTATGTATGTATGTATGTATGTATGTATGTATGTATGTATGTATGTATGTATGTATGTATGTATGTATGTATGTGTGTATGTATGTATGTGTGTATTTATTATTAACAAATGAATAATATTCAATTATTCGAGCCGATTGCCAGTGCCAAAGAATAATTTTCTTCGAAATGCCGTTTGGAAAGAACAAATGGGTCAAAGCGAGCTGTGACCACTTGGACGCTCATTAGGAAAAGGTGTATACATAAAGCAGGCATTTAATGGTTTTCATTTTCAAATTAATTAAAAACTAAAAGATTTTGGAAAACGAAAAGAAGTGGTTAATAATAAATTATATACATAAATATAAACTAAGCAACTCTATAAATATTAAGAATTAATAGTAACAATATAAATATCAAGAATTTGCATAATTACCAAAAAAATCAATTAATGTAAGAATTAGAGAAAGGGTTGAGACGAGACCAAGATCGGATATTTGGGTTATCCGACCGATCCCCGATTCAATTTTGAACTTTGAAGGTTGAAATCCTTCAGCATATCTAAATCCCAAAATTTAAAAGGGTGACATGAAAAAGAGATGCCAAAAAGAAAACTATTGGACCGAATCCGACTTACAAGTATTTATAGATATCCGCAAATACAAATTTTAGTTGTACCCAAAAAGTTGAATTTTAACCATTTCGGTTCAATTCTTTACAATTGATTGGACCGAATAAAAAATCTCGATAAAAAATCTCAAATGATAATGTTTTTTTTTAATATTAAGCAACCAAACAGAATATTAGAAAATCCGAAAAAACCAAAAATTTATTAAAAAAATATTTTTCTTAATAAAAATAAAAACAAAACAGAATGTAATATAATAACCAATGGATACATATTTTTCTTGAATCGAATAACCCGAACTGAGCAAATACCATAACAAAACCGAACCGAAAATAAGATCGTATTTAAAAAATGAGAGCTTTAGAACAAAATCAATTAAAACATCAAACCACACGTCGTCGAACTTCAGAGGAACCCTAGCGGCAAAAACCTCGGCTCTCTCCTTCTGCAGCTCAGCTTCCACTTCCGACAGCCTCAGTTTCAGATTCTGCAACTCTTCCTCCAGTTCCGGGATCATGGCCTCACTCCTCTGTTCTTTCTTCTTCCTCACGTTAACCTCCTCTACCTTCTTCTTCAACCAATCTATCTTAAACCCTCCATCCGTTAGATCAGTCACTCTGCTTTCTACGTCGATTATGTCGTCTTCTGCCAGCTCCTGAAGCGGTAAGCACAGTTTCTTGATAAGGCTGAGGAGGGAATCCATATATGCTGACCTCAACTGTCTGGCAATGTGTGGGTGTCGCTCGAAGATCCGTCTTACTAACTCGACCTGCAATTGACAAGGATGTCAAGCCAGTGCAGAATCTGGTTTTCGAGCCTAAAAAAAGCATCTTTTACCGGGAAGAATATGACCAGGGAAGTGGCAATATCGAACATACTAAAACCAACATACAAGAAATGTCAATACATACCGTATTTTTTAGTTCGATTACGAGAAAACGACTCCCTAACTACAATTTAGTCTAATATAAAATCGGAGACAACCTTCCAACCATATAACTTTTGAAGAGAGTTCTATACATGTCCGTCGGAGGATGACGGGAGACAAACAGAGCTAGCCTGTGTACCCAAGTCCCAAAAGTTATTTTTACATCAGTGAACGACTATCCTTTGATTCTGAAAATCATATTGTACTTTTAATATGAAAGATTTTTTTTTGGTAAATTGTAATATGAAAGATTTATTACAAAATCACTTAAAACATCAAACAACGTCGTCGAACTTCAGAGGAACCATAGCAGCAGAAACCTCGGCTTTCTCCTTCTGCAGCTCAGCTTCCACTTCCGACAACCTCTGTTTCAGTTTCTGCAACTCTTCCTCCAGTTCCAGGATCATGGCCTCACTCCTCTGCTTTTTCGTCTTCTTCACGTTAACCTCCTCTACCTTCTTCTTCCACCAATCCATCTTGAACCCTGCATCCGTCAGATCAGTCAGTCTGTTTTCTGAGTCGATTATGTAGTCTTCTGTCAGCTTCTGAAGCGGTAAGCACAGATTCTCGACAAGGCCGAGGAGGGCATCCATGTATGCTGACCTGATCTGTCTGGTTTTCGGACGAAAATCCATGGCAATGTCTGGGTGTCGCTCAAAGATCCGTCTTACTAACTCGGCCTGCAATTGAGAATAATGTCAAGCCAGTACAGAAGCCGGTTTTAGAGACAAAAAAAAAACTTCTTTTACCCGGAAAAAAAATATGAACAGGGAAGTGGTAATACAGAACATACTATCACATACGGTTTACGGGTCAAAATTTTCTAACAAAGATCCGAACTTGAATGGCGTTCTTACCTGCGAAGAAAGAACCTGAAACTCATTGACATCCACAGTCTCGTTTTCCGGGTCAATCTTCTCAGCTGCAGATGCCTCATTGTTACTCTTAGCTACTGAATCTTGTACGGGTTCCCATTGAGAGGTTGTATCTTCACCTCCGCCATCCGAAACAGCGTGATCTGAATTCTTCTGAGATGTATCCACGAATTCAGGCTCTTGCTGAGAGAGAGAACGTCCTCCTTGAGGTCCATTGGCAGGTTCTTCAGAAGCTGGATGTTCGTCTTTCTCGAGTACAGTTTCAGTCTCCTTCTCGGATTCCACAGGTACGTCTAGTTTACCAGTAACTCCAAGAACTTCTACCTCGGTTTCAATGGTTACTCTGTTGTTAAACAGAAATCCTTGACAGAGATCGGTAAGCTTGACGGCCCTAGTGAAACCCCAGTCGCTCTCGCTTGCAGTAAACTCATGCTGGCATTCTTACATGTCGTCAGGAAACAGAACAAAACAAAGATTAATCTCATCAATTAGTATATACATGGCATGAATTATGTCACAAAACGTTCTCCCACAGATTCAGATTCGCAAATTCGAACAAAAAAATGCCTGACCGAAGAACCCCATAGAAAAGATGAACACACTTTCTTGATCAGGAAAGTATGAAACATGATTACCAGAAGATTAACTATTGCAGTTATTTGAAAGAAGGCTAGTAGAGATCAAACTGTGAAGGCAATACCCAAAACGTTGGAGGATTCTCTAGAGAGTTGATTCACAATGCGGAAGCACAATTTCGCGTTTCTTCTCCATCCGGGAGGCAATGATTCAGCGTCAGCAACATCCAGATAAACAGACAAGTAATCAACCCCATTTCCCTTGGGGAAAACGAGAACACGCCTGCACAAAAAAAAAAATGCCCGATAAAATCGAAACCCTAAAAGATCATGAATATCATAACAAATGTCATGAACACTCAGGATGACTAAGCTAACATCATGCGGAAGAAAATGTTTATATAAACCATCATTTCCTTAGTTTACCATTTGCAGCCGCCGATTATGAACGGATCAGAGTAACACTTCTTATCTTTCAAAGAGGAGAAATCCTCAATCACCCAGGTGAACTTTTTTTCCAGCTGCTTCACCATTAATACGATTATCGATCTCTGCAATCCGACTGCAAAACAAATGGGGGAAAAGCCCTAGGACTGAATAGCAAACCCAAATTCGGAAACAAGCAAATCAATAACCAGCATTAAGATTCTGCAAAATTCGAAGCTTAGCAGACTAAACGAGCAAACAACTTTCGCCGATAGCACGAAAGGGCAAAATAGAGAAAAGGAACAAAGGACCAGTGATTGATGATTACTTCTCAGAGCCGCAAAGAGAGAATCTCCGTAGCTTCCGCTGGGGATAACTCTTTTTTTTTTTGTTGGATAACGTACCGTGCATTAATCTCCTGGGCCAGAAGCAAACTAATCTGCTTTGAAATATTCGCTTTAAGTAAGCATCATTTAATGAACAGGAACATAATCCGAATCGACGGAAGCAACATACCATGTTCGTTCCACGAATCCTAGTATCAAACACAATTGTCCTTCAGAATTCACGACACGTGTCTATCCACGTGTCCAAACCAGGACGCAACAAATCGTCCTACATGTACATATAGACCAAATGACATAATTCAAAAGTGCATAATATACACCCAGGCGTCGTATGATGGAGAGGATATGCCAGAGAGCAGAGTTTTTTTTTGTAAAATTATTTCCAGAAAACATCGGACCGATATAATGCTAAGTTCTGCTCTATAATTCCATGCATTGTTGTGGTCTAATGTTGTACCCTCTTATACGGGAGTCGATTGTATTTTTGTATACAAATAATATACGAAAATCTCACTTATACACAAGTGTAATAAAGCCAAAGGGTAAAGCAAATAAATCGAAGGGGTTACCGCTTTAATTTCTTGTGCAGAAAAAATGTATATGACCGACCATATTCGTATGTTCCCTTCCTGTATCTGTAACTGTCCTATACTATACTACTTGAAATCAGACAACGCTTTAGAGAGAGAGAGGGGAGAATGTATACAACAATGAATGTTTGCAGAGTTTTCTTACAAGTAATGCAGGGGCCGGTCCGGTTGGCTGGTATTCGTGTCTGAGGCTATACACTTCTTTGAATATGTAAGAGACTGAGAGAAAAACACAAACGACGAAAACTTCTCTCCCTTTGTTAGCCCTACAAGCAAATAACAATGAGATTCCCCTGAGTAGCCTCCCAGTTAGAGATGGCCAATCTGGCTAATAATCGAATCAAAACCAAACAGAAACTGAATCAAATTCAATTTAAAAATCGAATGGTTATAATTTTTTGAAACCGGTATAACCAAACCTATCCCTACTGCTCGTCATTGTGCAGAACATCGTTTTAAGACAACAAGTCGGTCTGAACTGAGATTACCTGTCGTTGGCTCATGAGGATCTCCACGGCTACACTAAGGTCACCGTCAGCAGCAGCTACCGCCACCTCCACTTGTGTCTGTATCAAAACACGGAATATCGATTAGCCTTTTCCATTTTCGTGTTCACAAAAGCTATAAATAACCCTCGAAAACACAGAAATTGTACCCTTTCGAAGCCCATGGCCACGAGCTTCTGGATTTTTTCCTCGTAAACATCACGGCCCTGCGTTCAATAGCTCAATCAGCGAGGGATTTTCTTGCTGGCATGCTTAAATGTCTTGAGAGTCGCGATGCAAATACCTGAGACTGAAGTGGGACTCATGCGTTCACCGATGGCATCTGCCTGCACAAGAGAGAGAGCCTATGTGAAACCATGTAGACAATATGTCTCTTAGACATAACACGAATGGGCAAGACAATAACACGAATGGGGGGAGCTGATGGTGAGGAATGGTGCAGAAGTTATGTAACCGATAAATTTTGGAAATCGGAA